TAGCTTTAGGTCTGTCAGTAGGATTAATGGCCCAACAGTCCAACATAAGATCATATATCTCCTAATATAATGAATAGATACAGACCCACTAATTATATATACTCATGATACATAATGACTCCATTCTAATATAACATTAAAGGATGAACCAGTAGTAGGACTGGAGGGAATACTAATAGTAATACAGTATAACCTCCTCCTATTGTGGACACTCTAAAATAAGGACACCTCTATAATGAGGAGGGGTAGTATCAGTCCCAATACAATAGTAATGTGTATTAATGAACCTCTGAAATAAGGACAGGTTCATAATCAGGAGCTAGGCTATTATTGGGTCCCAAGGTCTCCGGAATAGACAGGTATAACACGTACACATGAATACCTTTATCCTCCATACAATGTACTGTAGTATCCTCTTACTACACTAGGTTACAAGTATAGTCAGGCCTACCTTAAGTATATCCCTAGCTTAGGCCTAAGGGGATTATTCCCAAAAAATTTCCTATTATTCTATTCCCAAATTCTTAATTTTTTTGTAATTATTCTTCTGTATTTATGGCTATTATTCTCAAATTATTCATGTAACATAAGATAAGCCTGTATATAGTCCAAGAGAGAGGCTTGGAGAGAGGTGTCTTGTTAATTACCAATGTGAGTTAAGTAACAAAAATACTCCTTCTATGCTAAGCTTCCACTAGATGGCTGTAAAAGCATGATTTTTTGGCTACATGAGACCAAGCTGGCAGTCCTTCTGAATTGCAATTCCACCATTCAACACATGGAGTATGTCAAAACACATGGAGTAGCCATTTTTATTCCCGTTCACTACTGTTTATTCTTAATTTATGCTAGTATTCTCAAGGAACCTATTATTCCTAAAATTATTCCAGCATAATCCCCGCACCCCTACCCTAGCTCCCTTTATTAATATCATCATTAATTACTAGTATATATAATGTACTGTAGAGTATCAGGAGCTAGTCTCTTACTTGTGGTGTCCCCTGGGGTCTCCTCAATACATTATCAGTCCGTACATATTTAATCACTTCTTCATTGCTCATCCCATAGTAAGGTTGAATACCATATGAGAATATCTCCCACAGTACTACACCATAGGACCACACGTCACTGTCTATTGTGAATTTACACAACATAATAGCTTCAGGGGGCATCCACCTAATGGGCAGCAACTCTGACTCACCTAACCTACAGTGGGAATAATACTATACTATATAATATCTATCAGAATATGGAATAAAAATTTGGGGCGATTTCGGAGCCAATTTTCAGAAAAAAACCATTGACTATAGCCTTGGGTATTTTTCAGATTTTTGTCATTTTTAAAAAATGGTTGTAACTTGAAAAATTGAAGTCAGAATCAGCTCAAACTTTCTACACAGCATAAGTACATCAATATGTATCAGAAAATGCAATAAAAATTTGGGGTGATTTCGGAGCCATTTTTCCATATTTGGAAAATTTAGTACAGCAAATAAAAGTAAAGGGACTTTTAGTACAGTAACAAGTAGTGCAGGTTCTAAAAGGAGAGGTTCCCAATATTAAATAATTACAATGGTATTAC